GATCCACCCGGTGTTGTCCAGTTTGACGAGGGGCGGGCAGACTTCCCAGTGGACGAGGAGCTGGGCCTGGACCAGGAGGATCTGTCCCGCTTCCTCCTCACCCACAGCATGCACCTGGTCACAGAGTTCAACAGCCAGGTGAGTTGGGCTACAGGTACAGGTGCAGGCTGCAGGAGGGGGAGTCAGGGGTAGCGGGAGGGTGACCATGGAAACCAGCCCCCATGAGTTTGGCCTGCCCTGCAGACATCCCCTAAGATCTTTGCGGCCAGGATCCTCAATCACCTACTGCTGTTCATCAACCAGACAATGGCACCGCACCAGGAGCTGTTAGCAGGCTTCAGGGAGGCAGCTCCCCCATTCCGGGGGCAGGTACCAGCTGGGCTAGGGGGGTGGGGAGTGGGGAGGCCAGTGCCCAGTGTGGACTCCCTGCTGGCAGGTGCTGTTCGTGGTGGTGGACGTGGGTGCCGACAACAACCACGTGCTACAGTACTTTGGGCTCAAAGCTGAGGAGGCCCCCACCCTGCGCTTCATCAACATGGAGACCACCAAGAAGTACACACCTGCAGAAAGGGGGCCAGTCACTGCAGCCTCGGTCACCGCCTTCTGCCACGCAGTCCTCAGTGGCAAGTTCAAGGTCTGTGCTGGGTGGCCCACCCAGGGGGTTGGGGTGGGAGCAGTGGCTCTCAGGAGAGATCCCCAACAAAGTGCCTGGCCCGTTTCCCCCAGCCCTATCTCCTGAGCCAGGAGGTCCCCGCTGACTGGGACCAGCATCCGGTCAAGACCCTCGTGGGCAAGAATTTCGAGCAGGTGGCTTTTGATGAAACCAAGAATGTGTTTATCAAGTTCTGTGAGTGTGGAGGGCAGTGCACAGTGGGCAGGTGAGGGGTAGGGGGCCTTGCTGGCCCTGCCAATGCCCCAATGTCCTAGACGCCCCGTGGTGCACCCACTGCAAGGAGATGGCTCCGGCTTGGGAGGCACTGGCTGAGAAGTACAAGGATCACAAGGATATCATCATCGCAGAGCTAGATGCCACAGCCAACGAGCTGGAAGCCTTCGCTGTGCATGGCTTCCCCACCCTCAAGTACTTCCCAGCAGGACCAGGTCGGAAGGTAAGACAGGATCCCACTTTTCCTGAGTCCTCAGATGGAGATGGGGCATGGCCTCAAAGGGTGTGGCTTCAGAGGGCAGGCCCTGGGATAAGGTGTGGACTTAAGAGTGCAAGGCCTAGTATAGGGTGTGGCCTGGGGTGGGACAGGACCTTGCTAGGGTGGGGCCTTAGAAGGTGAAGTCAGATGGGTGTGGCAGTAAGGGCACGGCCTGGGTGGAAGTTTTGTGTCCCTCACACCCTCCTGGCCCTCCTCAGGTGATTGAATACAGAAGTGCCAGGGACCTGGAAACCCTCTCCAAGTTCCTGGATAATGGGGGCAAGCTGCCGGAAGAGGAGCCCACCAAGGAGTCCTTAGCCCCCTTCCCGGTGAGTGCGTCTGTCCTAAAGTTCCAGGCTTCTGTACAAGTCCTCTTGACTGGTGGCTATAGTACTAGGCAGCAGTAGGCTAAGAGCCCAGTTTCTATCTGGGCCTCTGTGACCCTTTCCAGGAGACACCAGCCAATTCCACCTCGGAGCCCAAAGAAGAGCTATAGCTGCCTTCACATAAGTGCTGGGGAGCCATTGTTTCCGGTGCCTGGGAAGCTGTGGGCCCTAAATAAAGAGCTTTGGTCCTGGACTGTGTGTGGTTCCTGAGCAGGGCTGGCCCCCTGGGGCCTGTTCTATGTTGAATAGGGCTCAGCCCTTGCCCCTAACCCTCCTCAGTGGATCCCTGGCTTGGGTATAGGTCTGGGTCCCCACCTGGGCAGGTATAGGAGTGGGACATAAGGTTGCTGCCAGCTCTAGCCCCTCCTTCAGGGGCTGGTGTGACTTCTTTTGCTGCCAGTGCCTGACATGAGCCATATGTAGCCAGGCTAGAGGAGACAGGCCACATGAGCTGGAAGCTGGCCGAGAATGGTGTACCCACCCACCAGGCCCACCCACAGAAGACCAGTGACTCCACAGCAGGGAAGGTTCAAAAACGGTTTTATTTCATTATTATCCAAGTACCTTTGAAAAGATAATTGTACAAGTCAGCGCATGAAAAATGGGCTCAGGGCAGCCCCCTGCTGGCCCTAGCCTGAGAAATGTACATATTTACATGGGCCCTTAGAAAGGAGGGGCCCAGGACCCGCTGAGCCAGCGCTGTGGAAACTGAGGATGGAGAGGGGACAACGAGGTGCCCCGTCACCGGATCCACACAGTGGCAGGCAAGAGACAAGCTGTGTTGAAGGCACTCGGTGACATGTACAATTTAAAGGCCCCCTAGGGCCCCCTGTACCCTGGGCCTGGGCTGGTCCTGACCAGGGCAGGGCATAGTGGGTGAGTCCAGGAGGAAGAAGCAGAGCCTGTGGTATCAGTGCCCGGCAGACAGGCAGTGGGCGGGTGCGGGGGTGGGGGATGGCCCATAGTTAGCAGCAGGGGGCCACTGGGGAGGGTCATCAAGGCAGCCCCATCGTGGGCTCTCTGCATGGGGGAACTCTGAGTATTGCTGTGGAGGAGTGGATGGGGCCCCTCCTCACCAGCAGCAGGACAGACGCCTGTGGGACCACTCAGCAGGATCCCCGCTCACTTGGACACAGATGGACCAAAGGGGTGGGTAGCAGCCCCAGCCTGACACCAGGAGCTGTGTGTCTGCACACATGTGAGAGCACCTGACATGCCACAGCCCTTCCAGGCTCTCAGTGTGGCTTCTCCCACCACCACTAACAAGGGCCCAGCCTGATGCAGAGGCCAGGCCTGTCCATCAGTCCACCTTCTCCACCTTGCCGATGATCTTCTCCTCGAAGACAGGCAGGACGGCCTCGTCTTCCCGAACCTCCTCAAACACCACTCCACAGTCAAACTCGTCACTCACTTTCTTAAAGTAGTATCTGGGGGACGCGGGTGAGGAAGGGAATGAGAACAGATGATAGCCTGTCCACTCCTTTCCTCCCCACGCCCCCACATCCTCAGGATCTCCCAACTTCCTAGCCTGGCGGCCCCACACATATACAACACTTGGCAATCACGCTCCAGACATGCACAGGGCACACAAGCTGGTTCTGCCTGGTGCCTGTTTGCTGGACAGCTGACAGTGAACAGCACAGTGACCACATGTGGGGTCCCCTGGCCTCTCGAGTGCTGTAGGGGAGAAGTGGGCAGCTTCGGCATTTCTGTTTCCTAAGAGTTGAGCCTGTCATCTCCATGGGGGTGACATGCCCCAACTAAGGCCCAAGCAGAAGCCGGTGGAGCTGGGGCCCTTCTCTAGTAGCCACACTTTCCAAAGGGTGCTTTCTTGCTATTTAGAGATAGAGGAAACCATCCACTAGAGGCCGCTGTGGGCTGATCGCAGCTGAGACCCTATCTGCGCCCTGCTCCTCCCACAGTGCTCACTCAGGAGCCTCCATCGCCTGGCTGGCAGGGCCAAGCAGCCCATGGCTAACTCTGAGAAAGGGGGGCCTTGGACCCTGGGAAAGAGGACCTAGCTTCTCCATCTAGTAAAATGGCTGAATTGAAGCTGGAGACGAGGCTAACCCAGGTCAGAACAGCATGGAGACTGACAGACCACTGTGTTTGGGCCTGTTTCCCCACCTTTAAAATGAGGACCATCCAGACCCCTCAGTTGGCCTAGAGGCCCCAGTCATGTGGCACTGGGAGTCAGGGCAGGGAGCCACACTGCACACAACAAGGGGTTCTCGCCAACAGCTCAGGGTTGGAATAAGTGGGTAAGTGGGGAACAAGGATTAGATGGGATGAGAACAGGGTGAAAATAGGGCACATAGCAAACAATACTACCTCCTGGACAAGGCACCTCCTTACCACAGACCCCAGCCCTTTACTCTTACCTATAGTTGCCTTTCTTGGTCAGCAGCTCCTTGAACTGGCCCAGGGTGACCGCACGGCCCCTCACCAGGGTCCGGTAGGGGATGGGCTCCCCACAGAAGTAGTAGGCCACAACGATGCTATCGCAAGGCTGGGTGCTCCCACTGCCCGCCTTCCTCTGTGATTTTGTCCTGGAGGCAGAGATGCAACGGTGATTCCTGGGCTCTGGGTTCCACAGGGAACCCCTCAATGGACCTCAGGCTTCGAGCTCTCAGTAAACGACAGGGCAGGGCCTGAAAGGATGAGCTGTAACACACTCAGAAATGCCACGCATCCACAGGACCCTAGGCCTAACACACCCATACAGCTCCATCCACTTCTGGGGGCCTGTGACCCACATGGTGTCTCAACACAGGGTTCCAGTTCTGCACCAAACCCACACACCGAGACACACAGCGCAGACGCCAGCTCATCTCTCACCGTCATGCCTGTCTCACAACTGCACAGTGCCGAGATTTGCCTGCCTCCCTCCTCTACTCATCGGAAAATCCAAGGTCTCACTGTGGCCTAAGCTGCCTGGTAGGCAGCACCCCTGACCCAGACCACGTAAAAGTGGGCCAGCAGGGCTGGAACTCACGGTGGATGCCTCCACCTGCTTCTTAAGGTGGCTGGGCCACTGGAACCAACACAGCCTCCACTTCTAGGTGGAGCTATACTGCTTATACCTTAATAAAGCTTAAAGCCCCAAACTTCAAAAACATCTGTAGGCCAAGGATCGGACAAACGTAACTGTGACAGATCTTGAAATGGACCTGCCCCACAGAAGAGAGCTTGTCAGAAGAGACCAGAGGCAGCAAACAGTCAGACTTCTAGAGAGGGGTGTGAAGCCAACGCCGTCTCCTGCCCAGGCTGGGATAGGACCTCATCCTGATGGGCGCTGAACAGATACTCTGTCTGGGACAGGCAGCATTCGCTCTGCCCCGCAGTGTCCCTGGTCCCTGTGACTGCTCTGGAGCTGCCCGGGTACATGTGAATACAGCCCTCAGCCCCCACCAGCTGGGCGAGGCAGAAAGCCTCCTGCACCAGTGTCACGTCGGGAAGGCTACCTGAGCTCATAGTGAGCTTTTTCCTCTCTGGGGACCCTCCCCTCCCTGGCATCCCTGGGTACACACTGTTGTCACCTCATCCACGTGGCTGTCCATCACTTGCGCCACGCCTCCCTGGCACCTGCTTTCCTTCCCTCAGTCCCGCAACCTCTAACCCAGCTTGTCCTGGGAGCCTGCCTCAGGCAGGGGTGGGGGTCCCGTGTTGGCTTGTTCTCTACAGAAGGAAGAGTCCCTGCTCCTGCAGGGGCCACTCTTGAGGAGTGACCTGGTGGGGAAGCTCTAGGCCAGCTGGCATTGTCTGGAATAAGCCTGGAATAAGGCTGGTGAGGTGGGGGATCCCTTTTTGCTCTGTCTTGAGCAAAAGCACAGGAATAGGGCACTGCCTGCATGTGGCCTGCAGTTCACTAAATGCCCACCCTGCTCCACGTGTACCTGAGGAGCAGACACAACCCACATGAGAACAAAGCCAGGCTCGCTGTGCACACAGCATCTGGACACACAAGCACCACAGGAGCCGACGCTTTCAGTCGGCAGCGTGTCGGGAATCACGGGTGCAGCCCCGACCCTGTCAAGTCCCAAGGCCTGGCTGGGAAGCTCAGGAAAGTAAAGGCAGGCGGGAATGTGTGGCCAGAGTGGAAGAGGCAGAGTGGACCTTCCCTCTGGCCTGTTGGTCATTTGCCACCACGTGGACAGTCAGCATCCCCTTTGACGGAGAGACAGGAAGGAAAGGCCTGCACACGGCTGGCAGCCCCAGCTCTTCCAGTGCAGTGCCCGGGCTCCCGCCCTGGGAACAGCTGCTGCTCCTCGGGACCTGGCCCACAGCGCGGGCTGGGCAGGCGTTGCAGGAGGACCCGCGCGGGGCACGCACGTACTCTGTCTCGGAGAGCTCCATGTCGGACACCGCTGGCACCACGCTCAGCACGGGCGTGCACGCCGGCCTGATGCAGGAGCGCCCCCGCTGGATGACCTCCTGCACATACCTAGGGAACAACCGCGTCAGTGAGCCGCACAGGTCTGGGCAGGGCCACCTCCACACTCCAAGGTGACAACTGGGTGACAGACAGCAGGCGGAACACAGACTCCCCAAGAGGGTCCATCACTACCACACAAGGCTCCCACTGTGTGTGACAGGCAAGACACCAAACCCCTTCTTGAGCGGTGGAGCATCAGAATCAGTCAAGAAATGGATGTTGCCTTCTTATTCAGAGTTCTCAGGTTCCTCGTTTGGTCAGAGCCCTTGGGGAACCCCTCATCTGAGGTGCTAAGATTCTGTCACTTCATCCACACTTAGAGGACCTGCCTCTGGCCTCCTCCCTCTGGGTGCAGCTCTTCCCACTTGGTGCTGACATAGGTCCGGGTCCTGCAGAGTGGTCACTGCTCCGTCCGAAGCAAGCAGAGTCCTGTCCCTGGGCTCTCTGCCCAGCGGATTCTCTCCAAGTGTCCATCCACCCTGAGCATGCGCTCTGCAGCCCTGACAGAGATTTCTGCTCTGACCAACCTTGGTGGGGGTCACCCCATGAGGAGCTCAGGGAGGCCCAGAACACCCACTGCCACCTTCAGACCTTTGCTCTGTGGCCATTTACAAAAGGCCCATGTGCCCAGGACTGACGACATGTAGAGCTAGCAGAGTCATTGGCCAATACACCACAGGTGACTCACCCCCAAAACACAAGTCACAGAGAGCCACTGGCCAGACAGAATGCACTGTTGTGAGGGGCCAGCAGAGTACTGGCAGGAAGAGGGGACGTGAGTCCTGTCCCCAAGAGATCGAGGCAAAAATGAAGTCCCAGGAAGCCCCTGGCAGAGGGAAGAGCTTCCATTCTCACATCGCGGCCTCTCCCCAGGCCACCCTCCACTGCCCTGTCTGCCTCTCGGTATGGGCCTCCTGCAAAGAGCTGGCTGGCTCTTGCTGACTGAATAAGATCACAGGGTGAGACAGTTATCTGTAAACATGGTCAGCTTCAATGACCCAGAGAGACACATTCATGTTTTCACCTGTACTCGACGAGATGGACATTAGGGAGAGTCCGCACCCTGACATCTGCTTCCCCAGAGGAGCAATGCCCCCCACACAGTGAGACCCATAGAAAGCAGGATCAAACACCAGATGACAGAAAACTTGGCGAGGAGCGCCAATAATGTCTTAGAAACAGTGGCCACAATGCCATGTCCTGGTGAGAACTACAGATTCCAGGCCTCCTGATCACCTGGGGATTCCAATGAACCAGCACGTCCAGGAAAAGTGGCCTCAAGGGCCAGCTAAAAGGGTCAGGGAAGCCACATTCTGGCCTAGAGAGACCTGCCACCCACAAGGGAGTGGTACCCATGCTCCTCAGAGAGCGAGAACAGGGTCTGGCCTGAGGACACGGTGGTAGCAGGTCAGGCCACTCTGCTTTCTGAGACCAAACAGGGCAAAGTAAAGAGTGGCTGTGAGACCCGAGGTGTAGGAGAATTTTATACCTCACCTATTTCAGCACTGTTTACCATCCTACCTGCAAATGGCACTGTTTAGGGTTCCCTTTTGTGTGGCTGTGAATGAAGGCAGCCAGGACCCCCAGGACCAAATTCTCTGAGCTTAGTCTGTACAGGAGCTAGTAGTGACCTGACTGTACAACCTCCAATTGTTTCATGTCATGAAGAGGACCCTGTGGCCTCCCACAAAGACCCGGGTGAGTGCACGCTCACAAAGCAGAGCAGGTGTGATCAGGGGAAAGACATCCTTTCCTCCCCAGAAAAATAGTAATGACCACTTGCCCTCCCAGCCCCTGGTCACACAGCAGGGTCATGTGGAAGGAAGTGGAAGGAAGAAGCCAGTACTGCCAGTGGATGCCCAGCATGACTCTATGTGTAAACCTTAGGCCTTGGGAGCTCCACCCCAAAGCGGAGCCATGGCACCTAGAGAAGCTCTGACAGGAGCCAGCCCTGCTCTCCCCGATGGCCCTGTACCTCTGCTTCGAGGGCAACTTGCTGGCTCTCTTCTCTTCCTCCTCCAGACGCCTTCGGGCCTCCTCCAGCTGGGTCAGAGGGTTGGGGGCTGGGTTGGGTGGCATTGTGGGGTCTTGAATGAAGAGATGAGAGGGCTGGACGGAGTTCCGGAGCTGAGCGCTGACCCAGGGGTGTACAGCCCCAGGACGCTCAATGGACAAGGGCCTGGAGCTCTCGTGGGCCTGCTGTTTCTTCACCCCAGAAGACCTTTGGGAGCAAAAGAATAGACATGGCAGCACCTAAACACCCAGGGCCACAGGCAGGCATCAGGAGCTGGGCAGGAGCCGGCAGAGGCTGAGTGTGGCATTGACTCCTGGACACCTGGGGCAGAAGTGCTTTTGTGTCCCTGGCCATCAGAAGCCACGTGAACTTCAGCAATTTCCTCCTATCTCACATGACAGGAACATTCCTTTCTTATGCACCTTTTTAAACTAATTTTTAACAATTTTATTGAAACATAAATCATATTCTATACACAGACTTTTTTAAAGAAAATTTCTACTGTTTTTAAAAATGTTTTGATATTAAAATAAATGCTCTTGGTGAAAAACTGAAATATGTAAAAAATTCAAAGAAAAAATAATCTATAATATCACAATTTAGAAATAGCCACTCTCAGAATATTGATTTCCTTCTCCATTAAAAATAATTAACACACTGGGCAAAATTCTAAACATAATTTTTCCCCCCTGGATGTGGTGTGAAGCCTCTTTGCTGTTAAACATTAAGAATGTGCTTTACGCCTGTGTTACACGACATTTCTCGACCACTGAATAGAATCAAGTGAAAATGTCAGCCTCTCTCAGCTACAGCTGAGGGGGTCTCAGCACCAGGAGCAGAAATGACCGAACCCAAGAGGGCTCCCTTGGAAGTGGGTTGGTCCAGTGCTCTCATGATACCAAAACTGCCCAATGAAAGGTACCCCGAGGGAGGTAGGCTCCTCCTCCTAAAAAGCCCTACAAGGTCAGCCCCAGGGAGACCTTGGCCCGCATCTCCCCACCCCTCCACCTCCTCAGCCTCCAATACCCCCATCTCCTCAACCCTCTCATCTCTCCACCTCTCATTATTCCCTGTCCCCCACCCCTCCACCTCCCTGCCCTCAGACCCGCCTCAGCCCACCTGCCTTATGTAAGAACAGCAAAGGGAGAGGCCCCATGGCCTCCAGACTCTAGAGAAGCCGGGAAGGCCTGGTGAAGACACTAAAGGCCATAATTTAAAATAGCCCATCTGACGGCAGGAGCCTCCGGAACCTGGGAGGTTATTTTTAGATGTGCCTCACGCTTTAGCCACAGAAACCTGCCGTTTGGTGTGGGAGGACCAGCTGGGAGAGACCCTTTCCTCGTGAAAACCCACAGGAGAGAAATCCAGGTATGTCAAGAATCTACCCCACTCCAACCAGAGGAGGAGAGGGGACCCTTGAGAGGCCCCCTCACTAGAACAGGCTTTGTGGCCAAAAAAAGGTCTGGATGCTAGGGAGAGGCTTGTTCCCAGGGTCAAGCTCACCTGCCTCACACACACATTCAGCCCTCTCCAACGATGGGCAAATCCCACCAGTCCCGGACCTGAGGTTCCTGGGTATCAATCACTAGCATCTGGCTAAGCCCTATCTAAGCCAGCCCTGTCCACCCTACAATGGACCGACCTGTGTAGGATAATCCAGAGTTCAGAGGGATGCAGACTAAATGAGACCCTTCCCCCCCCAACCACTGAGGGGGCGACCAGGTGCAAACACAGAAGGTTTCTCCCACAGCCCCATCTGGAGTGGCAGTTAGGTGCCTGCTTCACTTCCCTGGTGCCTTAGGTCATTCTCACACGGAGGTGCCACTGCCTCAGAAATAACCTTGTGAGAGCAGCTATGTGACAGCAAGCCCCTTCTTCGGTGGTGGGGCAGCAGCAAGGGGAGCTCACAGAGGCACGGTGACTTTAGACTGATCTCACCAGCGGGCACTCCTGCCCAGGACACTGACGCTACATCCAGGACCCCACCCCATCACAGGCCCACACAGAGCAGGCATCAACAAGCTCACGCTGCAATGGGCTGGACTTGATTCCTTTCAATTCTCGCTTCCACTGTACATGGTTTGCAGTAAGACAGTGGGTGGGGCCATGCCACACCATGAAGGACACTGGCAAAGTAGCTCTAAAGGCTTGCCAGCCGGTTGTGCACACCTGTGCCCACTCCCCCAGGACACCAGGTGCTGCTTACCCGTGGCCGGCTTTCCTGTGCCTACTGATCTCTTTCTCCCCCTCAATGATCCACTGCATGATCTTCTGATTCTTCTCTGCATCCTCTGAGGAGCCTGGCACCTCGGTGCTGGCACTCTTCCCAGACTCGGCTTTCTTAGCATTTCTTTTGGAAGTCGTGCCGGCCTTCCCGCTGCAAAAGCAAGACCTGGGAGTCACCCCACTGACTTTACCTGGCTCGTCACTGAACAGCTGGCCACCTGTGCTCCAAACCCTGCACTACCCCCTGAACATGAAGGCCTTGACCAAGTGGCGTGTTCTAGCGGCCTCTGCCCCAGCTCTGTGGGGTTGTCTGGAGTTTGTTTCAGGTGACTCCATGGCAGGAAGTGAAGGAAAGAGTCCAGGAGGCACTGGTTGGGAAAGCTAGAGCCACAGGTCAGCTGCGGCTCTTGTACTCTGTCCTCTCAGCCCAGGTCACCTGCCTGGGTGAGGTACCAAGGGCCCAGCCAGTCCTCACCCAGACACCTCCCCTAGAAATGGTTCTCTATCCAACCACACTTCAAGAATGGAGCTTTAGCCAGCTCAGCAGCCCAGGCGGAGGCCTGGCAGCTGAGCTTCTAGAAACCACATGCCTGTAGTGTCTGTAGCTGACCTTGGTTTAAAGGGGAATTTTGGCCTAGAAAACCCAAACAAAATACACAGGAGACACGGCTTCTCACTGTGATTCCTTCCTCCCTGGGAAGACACCCATACCCCTCATAGACACAAGCCACGAGACAAAGGAACCACAGTCCTGAACCCAAAGTGCAGCTTGGGCCACCACAGACACTCACCTGTAGGCCAGGCTGTCGCTGGCATTGGGGGCAGCGCCCACACTCTCCAAGTGGCTTCGGGGCTTGGCCACATGGCTGTGCAGCTCTAGACCCCAAGCGAAGCTGCTCTGGACCCGGCGGGCAGCCTCGGTCTCAGCCTGCTCCTTGGGCCTGGCCACACCGTGGTGGCTATGGTGGTGGCTGTGCCTGTGAATGTGCAGGCCGGCTGCCTCGAGCTTCACCCCTGACTTGGGTGCATGCTTACCATGCCCCAGGGCTGTGCCCCCCAGCACCCCTGAAATTTTGGGCATGTGCGCGCTGTCAGGGGATCGGTGGCCTGGCCCTGGTGACTGGCAGCCGGGAGTCCTCATGACCCGTTGCACATGTTCATCCAGGATACTCTCAGGGTTCTCCTCATGCGCATCCCGCAGCCCCACACAGCCCACATCTGAATAGCGGGGTGGGAAGTGGTGCCAGGCCGGGGCTGAAGGCAGTTTGTGACTGGCCCCTGGCGGGGCAGAAGAAACATCGCCATCCTCACCTTCTTCCTCCTGTAGGGACAAGGCCGCATGTCACCTTGGCACGAGCTGCACCAAGGAACCCTCACACTTGGGGAAACAAATAAACCACCACCAAAGAAACAGGAAGCCTGGCCGTGCTGAGTGCTGGGGGTCGGGAGCTCTGAGCCTAGGATGAGGCAGAGCCAGGGGAGGTGCCGAAAGTGCTGCCTGACTCTCGGACGGCTCCTTTTCTGTCCCTGATGATCTCTGAGAGTAGGTGGCTCACAGCAGACTGTGCTACAGGACAGGGCACAGATGGGATGAGGACAGGGAGCTGTTCAAGTATGCAAGGACATGCGACCGCTATGCACCAATGATTCAGAGAACACAACACCAGTGATGGTCCAGACCACAGAGAAACTAAACTAAACTCTGCACTGGTTTAGTTTTCTTTTATGTTTCTCAATAAAGGTTTTGTTGAATTTCAGGTAAATTTTCCTATTCCTCAATTTTACTGTCATTTTCCATTATATTTTCAAAAAGAATATCACTCTTGTACAAAAGAGCTCTTGGTTTTTATTTATCTTACTGTGTTTCTTGACAAATTCTAATATGAAATTAACTGAATTTCATTCAATTCTTTAAGTTAACATGACTATATCTGTAAACATAAACATTTGATCACTTTAACTCCAAAAGATACATCTCATATTTATTTTCTCATCTTGTTGAATTATCCAAATCAGAATGATGTTGAGTAAATTTGGTAATAACTGAAAAAGCAGGTGATTAAGCTACCCCTGAACTTTTAATATAAACAGACTGCCAGAAGTTTCTCACTAATGCAAAAGGATCTAAATGTTATTAGAACAGGTATCAGCTGTGGGCATCTTGATCAGTGTTCAGGGTAGAAAAAGGCACTGAAGAAGATAGAGGGTGAGAGAAGGGGATGGACAGACAGAGGGTGAAAGCGCACCCACTTCTGGGCACAGCTTGGAACCACCTCAGCAGAGACTCGGATCCTGGGCTCTCACATCCATTCCATGTTCCCAGCCTGACCCCTTTGCATTGCAGGACTGAGGGACCAGGGACTCAGGACTTCGCTGGGTGGGGGGAATCTTCAGTGTACTGAAAGTCTTTAAACCATTTATCCCCTAAGGCAGGAGCCAGCAGGAGAGAACCTCTGAATCCCCGAGGAGTGGTGGCGGGCAAACCTTGGGCTGAGATCCAGTTGTTCTTAATAGCTCTACATATGTAGGATTTCAATTTTAGGGTTTTGAAATATTACAGATTTACATAATTGTTCAGCTAATAATTTTCTTCTTTGCTTCCATTTTCTAAATTTTATAATGAAAGTTATTTAAAAATTCTACAGTTATTCCTTTTAGAAAAGGACTATCATTTATAGCATGATTTACTTAGATTACAAAATTACAAACAATAACTAAGATTGCACTACCAGCTGCTGGGCAGTGTGCCACACCTGAGGACTGAGGGACTCCTGTGGGAGCAAACCTGCTGGAGCAGCTACAGGCCTGAGAATGTGACCTGTAGTCCTGGTACTCATGTCCAGAGACCATCACAGGCCACTGAATGTGGCAGGCCACCTGAGCTTGAAGAGCTGTGTGCCTGCCAACTAGTTCTTGAATTGATAATGGAGAATACAAGAGGCTGTTCATTTGAACATTTCTGTCAAAGAACACCATTGGATCTTTGCAGCTGGGTCCAGCTCCTCTTCTAAGAGCTGGCGGTGTCTCTAGGCATAGCCACCATGCACCTGCCAGGGACACCACAAAGAGAAAATCATCTAAAACTGAGACATCAGAAAAACATACTGAATACCCACAGCCACAGCTGCCTTCACAATGTCTCGCCCAAAATGTTGCCCTGCCAGGACCACAAGCATGCCCAGCCACTGAACCAAGATGAAAAACCTGACAGGACAATTACAACAGCTCAATTCTATAGCAAAAAGGTAGTAAATTCTTTCTTTCTTAGACTTCTTTTACAAAACGTTACACACATTATTTCATGAGCACATTTGTTTTAAGGGTTGTTAACCGTGACATGCTCAGGGCAACCCTCACACAGAGAGCCAATGCCCATGGAAATGCTGTGCTAAACAAACGAAGAGGCCAGCTTTGTCATAACACACAAACTGGGAGTTAGCTCCTGCTAAAATATTCCATATTTCATGGTGATTCTGTTCCCCGTATTTGTTTGTCTAGAGAAGGCTTCTAGAATGTGGAAACTATGCCCCTAACTACTCCTTCAGTTACTCAATTAGGCCCCTAACGGACCCGGAGAAACGGCTAGCCTTGGTGAGTGCACACCCAGTGTCTTTGGCTCTCACCAGATGGGTTGACCGTGACCCGGCTCCTGAGAGCCACTTCCTCCAGACCAACAAAGTCTTATCCTCGCCCTCACTAGCACGCAGCATGGTGGGTACCCTGTCAAGTGCCCTTGGGCAGATCACTGAACCATAGCGACTATGGGGAGGATAGCTGGTCAGCTTCCCCAAGCTAGCACCTGCTCTACCCATGTGAGGGTTGCCCAATCACCATGAAGAAGGGAGAGGATGCTGGTAAGAAAATTTTACGTGTGTGCACAGCGCTTAAAAATACTTTCATGCAAACTTCTTCCTGGAGAGTACCTCCTTCTGGCTATTTATCTCACTCTCAGGTCTGCCTTCCTGGTACCCGCCATGAATCTCAGGTACTGACATGCTATTTGAAATCTGCCTGCTGTCTCGACATGAAGGAAAGATGGGGGGAGCCAGGCCCTTTGGTTGGAAGCTGGGCATCATGAAAAGGATCTATAGAACCCAGGATAGCAGTTGCAGGGTGTAGCCAGCAGGACTCCCTGCATGCGATGTCAGGGTGGGCAGAAAAGGAGACCACCAGGTGTGATCATCTGCCATGCTCCGCGTTTACACTTCTGGCAGTGTCTCCAGACTTCAGGTGCACACAACTCACCTGGGGACATGTAAAGTGAGAGAGGAGGCCCTTCTCGAGGGGTTCTAATAGGATCTGAGAAGGGCTCAATTTCCATATTTTAAATTGGAACATCAGTGATTGGATGGAGAAATAATTCCTTCAAGAAACAGCACATTTTTGAGTTTCAGGTACTGGGCATAAAATATTGAGAAAAGGGAAGACACCCACTTACTTGACAGTGACCATTCCAGCAGAGAATTCCTACCTGCTAAGAGAAAAGCAAAGGCCTGTCTGCCAGTGACACCGAGGCCCACGGCATTCAGGAAGGACTGCGTTCAATGACCTCAGTGAATAAAGTTCAATAAGCTATAAAGTACAAAGCGCACAGGGAAGGCCTCGCTCCAAGAGCACACTTGTTACCAATGTCTCAGCAATGAAGCCCCTGAATGTGTGTGGAAATGAATCTTATAGAATGATACCCACAACAAAAGCAAGGTATTTCTTCAGCAGTTATGGGCAGAAAAACATTCAAGTAAATGAATGAAAGTTATTATGAAATCTCTTAGCACTCAACATTTCATCAGGCGAGGCTACAGGTCAGAAGACAAAATAAACAGAAGCCTACAGCCAAACCTAAAACCACTCTACACTCTGAGGTGATAAGTGTGAGCTACTGGTCCCTCCTGTCATACGCATGCTCTGCTCTAGACACATGCCCATGGCCCAGGACCCAGTAGTGCTCGTGAGGGGCCTCCATCTATCAGGACTCAAGGGAAATTTCAGCTCTACATGCCAAGGGGGCATGCAGGATGTAGGGGACTTGGACAGAGAGAGAGGCATGCTCACATGTGGGGTTAGACGTTCAGCTCGGAGGGGCTCAGCAGAGAGGAATAAGCCTGGGGCATGGAGGGGAGGATAGGAGGAAAGAGACTGGGCCTGGGGTGAACAGAGAGGCTGGTAAGTCTACACTTAGGACATGCCCAAACACCAAGCTGAGCCAATGTTGCCTCAGTGTGACAACTACTTCAGGGACAAATGCTGAGAGTTGTCAGCTTCCCTCTTAACTGCCTTCCTACAACGGGTTGGAACAGGAATTCCAACCCCAGCATCCCAGGGCCACTGCTCTGACATGTGCTGGCTGCTCCTTAGGCCGAGGCTCAGTGCCCCGCCCACAGGGACCTTCTCCCCAGGAGACAGCCCAGGCTGGGAACAAAGGGTGGGTGGCTTCAGAGGAGGCAAGTGTCATAAGAGAATGTACCTTGGCCAGCCATCAAGATGGGTCAAAGCATGTCAGGAACCAGCATGTGGTCAAGAAGGGAGAAGGGGACTCTGGGAGCCCCTGGAGGAAGCCCCTTGGGGCCTGAAGTTGTAATAAAATAACTCAGAGACCGAGATATGCATGGCCTCCCCAACTCAGGCCTACTCACCATCCGCACACGCTTCAGCCGCTCCTCCAGCTTCTCCTCGGCCTCCCGCGTCCGCTGCACGGCCTCCAGGCGGTGGATGAGCTCCGCGGCAAACTTCTGGGGCTCCACACGGATTTCCTTTGGCATTCGGTAAGTACGCTGTAAGGAGACACCCTTGATTAGCCGGCCACACACAGCTTCGAATTATCATCCTCTGTGCCAAGGTGGGGCTCAAGAACTTTTGGGGTAAGAGAAAGTAACATCTGAAATCTGCGTTTTATTTTAAAGTATTTACTTTTCCCCCTTTCATTTGGGAATCAACATCCTTTTCTTATCAAACTAAATCTCTCCCTCACCCAGCAATGATTCAGAGGTGAGAATGGAGCACTAACTCCCAATCAGAGACACTGACTGAGCGAGGTAGAACTTGGTTTCCTGAGGTCAGGTCATCAAGGCAGAGGCCAGCAGGGTCCTGTGAGTGTGCCCTGTACAGACGGCCTCCCAGCCTGACCCAAAGAAGGGCTTATACACGACTGGCCAGCCTGAGATCCAGTGAGGCCTGGGGTCTGAGCAGGTCGAGTTGAAAAGACCATTGAGGAGAGAGAGGTGGGAGACAGCCCACAACATGCTTGCAGGACCAACCTGTTCCCTGCAGTGCCCAACACGCACACAAGAGGGCAGCAGCTCCTGGTGCTTAGGTATGCGCAGACCAGGCTCCATCCCAGGAATGGGGGACATAAAATTCAGGATACAAGAAAAAATCAGGGGAAAGGTAGGACCATGGAGGACTTTACTTTTCAGAGAATAAAATTTTGCAATGTATTTTATAGTGAAACATCGTATAACTATTTTGGGGGAGGGTAGCTTTATTTCAAATTTCAAATTCAAGACTGTTGCAAGAATAGCACAAGAACCCCTGTCTAACCTTTACCCAGATTCCCCAACTGCTGACATTTCTCTCACACTGTCATTCTCTCTCACATACACATATACAATGCACATGTGAGCATACACAGACACAAACACACCCTTCTCTGAGCCGGTCAAGAAAAAGGGAGTAAACACATGATGCCTGTTTACTCTTAAATGTTTTAGAGTGTATTTATGAAAAACCAACTACTACAGGACAATTATCAAAAAAAAAAAAAAAAATCCTGATATTTTTTACCTTATTAGCAGATCTTATTCTAATTTCACCAGCTGTCGCAATAATAATGTCCTTTACAGAAAACATGTTTTAAAAATCTAAGCCACCAAGGTCTAAGTGAGGGAGGGCCTGGAGGGGCCTCGAATGAGGCAGGAGGCAGACAGTGAAGGAGGAAGGTAGCCTAGGGACAGGGTGGCACACAGGACTCCTCTCTGACTCTGTGGGTGAAGAAGAGTGGCTGTTTAGAACCCTAGCCTTCAGACGTGGAGCCAGATGAGGAGGAAAGACGTAGAGTGAGGGAGAGGCCTGAGTTTCGCATTTCTTTTGTCAGATTCATTCTTAAGTAATTTTTCTTTTTGATGCTACTGAGAATGGAATTGTTTTCTTAAGTTCATTTTTAGGTTGTTCACTGCTTCACTACTGGTACAGAAAATATAATTAGTTGATTTTTGTATACTGATCTTGTATTATAAACCTTTCTGTATGTTGCTGGATTCAATTTGTTAGTATTCTGTTGAGGGTTTTGCTTCTACTTTTATTTTCTTTGGTTTATTACTTTATTTTCCTCCATACTCTAGGTATAGTTATGTCATTATATTTTAGTTTTCTTACTAATAAAGGTAGGTATGCCCGTTAGTGGGCTCTGGCATGGTCTCAACTCTGCCTACCATTTCACATTTACAAAACAGAAAAAGATAGTACCTAATAATTCAGAAACATTTAAGATTAGGTAAGAAAGTTACGTGAAGAGCTCAGAAACAAACGTCCACATGTGTGGCTGATGTTCACCACCATGGATTCAGAGGTGGCCGCAGAAATGTCTGAGGGGCCCGGAGAGGGAAGGGGACTGAGGACAAACCCAGGACACAGACCAATGCTTCAGGGACGGTAAAAGTTGGTGTGGAAGACGCGAGGGTGTTCAACACCAGGCAAGGGGTTATCCCGGAACTGAGGAAGCCAGACACAAGAAGGAGGGACAGTCAAGGCATCCAGTGCTTCTAGAAGGTCCTGGGAAAGGAGCCTGGGAAAGAAGGTAGACATGGATGGCGAGCCCAAGAGGATTGGGCAGTGGGAAGACCCTGGAAAAAGTCTTTGCAGGTGGGGCATCTGAACAGACAACAGAGGCCAGTTCTTATGCAGGATGGCCCAACTTGGGCTGTGTTCTAATGACTTCCCCGGCAGGAGGCCCAGGGGCCGCCAGGCTCTACTCACTGTCCTTGCAGGGGCAGTGTCCATCTATCTGTCCCATCACTGATGACAACGCCTGACCACTGACTCAAGAGAGCCAGGTCCTCTCCCAAAGTCACTTTTTCCCATTATGAGTAAATATTTTGTGAGGGGCTATCTAGGATGATGTAAACATCCTGTTATTCAAACTCTCAATTCATTCATCATGTTAGCATGGATGCATGAATTCCAAATTCGCTGTCGCTAATTCTGATGCTCCAGCTGTCTGGGCCTTGGCTGGCAAGAACCCCACCAAGGGGCTTCTGTATGCCCTCACTCCTTTAATTTCTGGGATACAGGATGCCCAGGCTCCTCCTCTGCACCTCAACCCAGTTCCAGTGTTCAGTTTAAACCTCCACTGAGAAGAACTGAGAAGACACGCACATCACCGCAGGGCAAACAGTTACCCCCTCAGGCCCAGACTGCTCCAGACAACACAAGTGAGGCTGAGTGCTCCCCAGAAGGTCACCTACAACACGCATGTGCATGTGCATGTGTACACACACACATACAGATACTCCATCCACAGCATCTTCCACTTTTCCCTAAGCAGACACCAGATACCATCAGTGACTAGTTTAGGCCAAATCTGTCCCAAAGGTTGGCTGGAAGGTGACAAAATGTTTCATTATCTTTTTCTCAGAAGGACAAACACATCCTTTCTTCTCAACCATAAATAATCACTTCTCTTATTTGTAAATTAAAGTATCTGCAGAGACGCTAACCAAGGAATCCTGATTAAGGGTGGGTGTATGCTGTGATCCCGAGAAACAACCACTTTCCCTGCACAGAAACCACAAATGAGCAGCATGAGCTGCCCTCAGACGATACAGACAACAACAGATTGGAGCCTCTACTCAAAGCCTTTCTCATCGTCCCCTAAAAGTCTTTCCCATTCAAAGTCAATATGTCATCCATAAAGAAACTCTTTGCAAGTGAAGACAGGCTGTGCTAGGCTCTGTGAACTCCCCTAAGCAGAACTGCTTTCACTTTTTTATTTTTATCCAAGAGGTGAAGCTGAGGCGGCTTTGAAGTCAGTATGCCCACATGGTGACTCCTACCATTCAGCCACAGAAAGGCCGATGTCTCATTTCATCTTGAACAAGGCAGCACTCACAATAACTTGGAAGCGGGGCAACAAGAGGCACAGCCAGGCTTTCTGACAGAGCCGCAGTCAGGCAGCTGTGCAGGGGCCAGGCCTGGGTGTTGAGCCTGTGAGGAAGACTTAGAGCTGCTCTCCCACCTCAAGTAGAAGCACCTTGTTTGACACAATGGGAAAAGGTCACATGTTGGGCACTGGGTAAAGGTGCTCCCTGCTCTTCTGAACTGACCACGCAAGCTGGGCTCTACAAGCCACCCTCGCTGCCTCCTCCAGCCTGCAGGGCATGACCACATGTGACCATATGCTACACCCAGATCTGAGCCAAGTTCACAGGAAGCCAGGCAGGCGCCTTTTCCACTGGCCAGTGCCACAGCAGCCCAGTCAGAACGGAGAAAGCAGATGTGCATGGGTCTGAGAGGACTGGTGAGCCCCAAACTTGGAGACAGGGAGGATGAGGGCCATGCTGAAGAACTTACAGGAATGTGAGGTAGAGGCACCCGCCCGTTGACCTGGACGTTCTCCTGCATCTCCCGGCGGTGCTGCTTGCGGATCCTGTACGGTGGGATTCCATCCCTGCCCAGAGGAGAGAGACAGCCTGGCATGAGCATACACAGAACAGCTTCACACAGTTTAGCTGTGTGGCTTTACCATGGGCAGGGCCCCCATGACCTGTTTTTCTAAGGCCTGATAACTAAGAAAGGTTTTTATATTTTTAAAGAGGCGGACTAATGTGTGATGGAGCCTGTATGTGGCCGCAAAGCCTAAAATATTTACTACTGGTCCTTTATGGAAAACATTTGCTGACTCCTACTTTATCACCCAGGCAGGATGCAGTGTGCCTACCTGGCGTGCTCTACACAGATAAGAAATATTTGAGGGCTGCAAAACGGGCAGCCAAGACAATCTAGATCCCATTGAAAGAGATTTCCAAGGTTCTATTACTCTGCTTTCTTCCAGGGTAAATTGGTCAAGCAGTATAATCTCTCTGAGGGAATGCTCAAATTAGTTTTCTTGACATAAGTTTTAGCTATGAACCCTTTTGAAGATTATGATAAAGATATAAATTAAATTATATGTTATCTTTAAGATAAGTAAATGCACTTACTCTAGATAGACGCCAGATTTAACACATAATTCACTACACATGGGCAATCCTTAAAAACTCTCTAGTCCTCTTCCAGTCATTTAAAAGCTACCCTGGAAAGCACAGCAGCCACCAGGAGCCAGCATATGCGAAAGACCAGCCAAAGCAGGATGACTAGAGTGGCTTCTCTGGGTCCCCACTTCCTTCCCACTGAAGGAGTCCAAGATGGGCCTCCTTGCTCTCCAGAGGGTGCAGTGAACACCTGTGTGGGATCCTGACCCCTCCTGATTCCTTCCCAGGCACCACCCACCGGGGAGGGTGTACTGTCAGTGCAGTGCTGCTCTTACTAGACAAATGTGCAGATGTAAACATGCAGCCGTGATCTCACTTTAACTGCTAGACGACTTAGTGAAGCCAACACCTTGCCCCTCAGTGCCCAACACACAGCATTTGGTGTGTCCTGGCCCCTGTGCCAGGCAGCTGCACACCCACCAGCTCAGTGGCTTCATGGGCGAGCAGGGCTGCAACATTTTCCTCGGAGCCCAGGTCTGGGTGGAAGGGGCATGTTTTGATTTAAAGCAGGGTAGAGAGAGGCTGTGATAGGCTCTCCTTCCTGTCACTGCCTCGGTGTACCTGGCTGTCAGGGCTCCAGCTAGGTGCTGCAGTGCAGTTTGCTCAGGGACCCAGTGGGGGGCAGGCACTCAAGGGGATAGGTGTCAAGGAACAAGTGAGTCAAAAGCATTTAAATGTCTTTACATACCTCTAGGGTTTTGTTCAGGTGTCCTGAGCCACCAACTTGTGTGTTTCTCATATACATTAATGGGGCACTTAAAAATTCCACTCTCCATGCCTCTACAGATTTGGCACTGCCCTCAGACACCTACGTCCAAAGTGCATGAACTACTAAGCTAGTCCATCATTCTTGTCATGTGGTTGAGATGCTGAGTACAGCTGCCCTCAATAGAAATAATTTATGTAAAACACACGATCCTATTTTTTGCCTCTGATGTATATTCGAATGTCACAATTGTACATTCCAAATTCTTGACTATTCCTGCATTTCTGACTCTCAGTGTAAACCGAGATGAAGAGAATATCAGAGAAAAAAATATTTTAAAAAATTTAAATCTTCTCTTTAGCAAACATATTTTCTTGAAGAGAATTAAGAGACTTTTCCAGAAAATTGAAAACTGTGTAAGCAGATTAACTTTCATTGTAGTAACAGAGTTTGGGGGGAAGAGGAAAACCATATGCTGCAAATGTACCATCTCGTGCTGCCAGCTGCCTGTGGGGGTCTGCAGGGCTACAGCTCACTGTAACTGGTTTAAATGGTACTTTATATTCATGGCAGGTATTGTTTGGAACTCCAGTAATTTCAAACACGAAATTGCTAAAAACATGTCAACATTTTATCTTAAAGATTCAAAATAAAGGAGATAAAAATGTCTTTGAGAAATGACGCATCCACAGAAGCTCAACCTGAAAGGGCAGATCCATCTGGTAATGTCACCACATGGTTGTCAAAGGGGAAGAGAGAAAGAGCCCAACACTTGCAACTATGGGGACTGGCTAAATCTGGTTCAGAAACAGCTTGTGATAACATATCCTGCACACTAAAATTCAGGTGTCAGAAGAATGCCTAAAGACACCGGCAAATGAAAGGCGTAAACTATAAAGATGGCACATCAAGTGAGACCACAATTTAAAAACATGTGTTCATCTACAAAAAGAAGAGTTTAGAGGCCCTTATTTTCTTATTTAAGTCTGACTCTTCAGACTTTTCATATGAAGAAACAAGCTGGATAGGAAAGAAGTCTCCCTGAGATCAGCTGACAGCTACTGCCCCTGCCTGGCTGAAGTCCTGGCCATAACCCCATGAGGTCTCAGTCTCATGGGGAAAGGACGCCTGTAGAGAGTGGTCCAGCAGACTCAGAGCTGCTCTCTGTCACAGTCAAGGGCTTCCTGGTCCTGACACCGGAGGGTACCCGGGAGTCAGCCCCCAGCCCTGGGCCTCTGACCCTAGGCAGAAACTTCTCATTAGTGCTGGTCAGATGATGAACGGCAAACGGACCAAAAGCAAGGTGAAGGCAGCAAGGCGAAGACCCCAAATGACCTCAGCAATGCCCTGATCTAGCAAGAGAGTGTTTGACACTCTCAAGTTTCTAATGTGCACTTAGGTCCCAATAAGCTACCTGCCAAAGCGAAGGAGAAGGTGTCAGAAAACAAGCACTTTCCCACAAAGAGAGGGCCTCTCTGGAGGGGACGATGAAAGGTCTGCTGTCACCAGTGAGGGACACTGGGGCTCAATGTGGCTCTATGTGGTCACAGGGACCCCTTGGACACACACAGCCCTGGAGGCGGTCCCTGAAACATCTGGCCCTGGGCCAGCACAGAACCAGCTGCACCAATTTCCCCTCTTACTTCAGTCTCCCTGTCCCACAATGGTGAGTAAAAAACAGGTACTCACCTGTAAGACAATGTCTAAATTTTAAAAAGTGACAAGTACAGAACAGCGTTGAAAAGAAACACTGTTGAAAAGTGCGTCTTTTCAGGGATAGTGCCAGGGTCACCCCTGCTTTGGCAGGCAGCTGTCCTGCTTGGCTACAAACCAGTGCTGATCTTTAAAGTGAACCCCCATACTGTAAAAACCAAAGAGAAAATCAGAACCAAAGTGCTCTAGCCCAGACAGCTCTGGAATTTATTTCAACGCTGCCCACGGTTTCCCCTTTCAAAAGTTCTTGTAGCCTTGGCCTTGGAGAAAAGCAGCTAACATAAAACTCAGTTCTAGTTTGTATTACGATTTTTAACAACACTTCCTACAATGCATCTGGTCTGTATGTCAGATGCACTAACATCAAGTTGTGGGGAGGCCCACGAATCACCTTCTATGAAGACAAAGCCCCAGCTGGGACTGGCACAGGCTGATATGCTTCACAAGGCTACATTTGCCCAGGCAGGGAGGACTTACACGCTGCTGTCGGTAAGGGACAGGCTGTCGGCATCACTGGACAGGCTCTGCTGCTCACTGTCATTGGTGCTAGTGGCCGGGGCGAGGGCATAGCCAGAGTTGACGTAGTAGGGATTGACGGGCTCCCGCCACGGCCCATACCTGCAAACAAGAAGGGCACGTCAGCAGCAGCCCAACTACATCCTTTCATATTAATCCACATTTTCAGAACCATCTGGATATCCTCATAAATGAACTACAAATGCAAACAATTCAGGAAAAAAAGCAGAAAGGACTAGAATCTTCATCCTGCCTCCCATGCCCCTCTCTTCCTAGAGGGATTAGTTAGGCTCTGAGCATCTTCCAGATCTTTCCTCTGCATTTAGGCAGACGTGTAAGTGAACACAGATTATCATTTGGGTTTGCGTTTTTTTACACATAACTAGAAACGGGACATGGCTGTTCTGTTCTTTTTTCTAAAGAGCAGACTTATTTACTGCAAAGTACACCCAAACTCCTAATTGTTGCACTGGCAGCATCAACCCTGGTGCCTGCTACCTCACGTGGTTCTCGCAACAGCCTGATGACACAGTAGCCTATGACCTCTTCATGGGGTCATGGAGCCAGCCACGACTCCTGTACACGAGTCTGAGAACTGCCACAAGATGGAATGTGGGGGATGGCGGAGGAAGATAGGTGGGGTTTAACAGAGGCTGTCACACTGCCCCCGGTCACTTCCCACCAGGAGTAGTGACTGTGCACATGATCCCTGGGTGAGATTCACCTTCACTTGTCTCATGATTAACCAGAGAATAACACTTCATTTTAGTTGGCACTTCCTTGATTAACAGTCAGGCTGGCAGTTTTGCGTGTCATTTAAATTCCTTCCTCTGGAAGTTATCTGTTCATGCCTTTTGTCCATTTTCTATTGCGTTGTTTGAGTTTCTTAGTGATTTATATAAGTTTTTAAATATTCGTATTATTAACCTCTGGTTATATATGCAAAAAAATATTTTTTCCTTAAATGTCACTTTTAAAAAAAACTTTATGTTGATTTTGGTCATACAGAAGTTTTTCATTTCTATGACTTCACATATACCAATCTCTTCTTTTATAGATTTTTTCTATCTTACATAGGCAAGCCTTTCTTATCCCAAGATTATAAAATATATCTTCAAATGCTTCAATAATTTTAATTTAGATCTTTACCTTAAATGCATGTGTGTAAAACCTACCTTGCTTTCTTGCATCAAAATGGAAAGCCAGTTGTTAGCACTAACCACTGAATAATCATCTTGCTCTGAATGGTTTTAATGCCATTCTGCATCATACCTAAACTTCTCTCCACACAGGTATCTATTTCGGCATCTACGCCATTCCACTGATCAATCTAAAAGTCAGCTTTCCTGACCCCTTACTGCTGTGCCATAATGGCGTGTCCCGCCACTACCTCCTCTTCCTAAAGACTGCCCCTGAATAGCAACACCTGTTAGATCTCCAACGGTCATGATGAAAGTGAGAAAAGGACTAAAGTTCTCTGAAGGCCCTGATGCCTGTGTAGGAGGCTGGGGTTCCCATGCTGATTGCTCAGCGATGTGCGTACTGGGCCCCAGTCACAGCCCTCAGAGCCCCAGCCTCACTTCTGATTAGAGTTGCTGCTGACAGTACTCAAGCATTTGCTGTACTCATGAATGACAGCTTGCACTGACTCCCAGGACCAGGGATGTGTCCTTGATGTGGAAAGGGGAGACTAGACTGTTTCTAGGAGCGAATGCCTTGTGGACATCCACGGCCTGATGGACAGAACCTTCTAGAAGCTCCAATTCACGTCTTGCACACACTTAGGAAAAGGTGCTTTAATAAAACAGCAGGACCAGGCACCTTGGTATCTTGGATGCCCATCACGCAGGATGTGTGGGGCTGAGCTGGGCCAGGTCGCATGGCTGGAAGAGAGGCCCAAAGAGCAGAGCCATCTCT